GTTCTTTAAGCTCCAGAAGAATAAAAGAGAGAAAGATGGAAAACTTCGAGCGTTTCCGAACTCCAGGAAAAGAGAGACGAGCGAGTAATAGAATTCTTGATTATTGATTGAATGAATGATAATGATACGAGATTACAATATATAGCGATGAGACGCCACACCTACATGATCTAATGGGCTCGGGCCCATACAAACACCCTAATCTATAAAATACTGATAAATAATAATAACTAACTACTAAATAATAATATAACTAATTAAAATATTCTAATTAACTATCCGTATCATTCCCACCCCCTTAAAAACCACCTTGTCCTCAAGGTGGAGGTTCCCACTCAAGCTTTTGGACATGTGAGAACGTGCTGAACCAGAAAAGACATACATTTGTTGACCAATCTTCAAGAAGCTTCTCTGATGAAGTATAGAGGCAGAAATAAAAGAGAAGACCAAACATGCATCGAACTATTTTCTTTGAAACCAGGTGTTCAGACTTGACAGTACCAACAATGTTGAACAACGCGATGATGTCCAACGAAATTAAGTTATCGGCGTGGATACAACCTTCATCTGCCACCTTGTCCACACCTTCTAGAAGGGCAAACTCTTTATTTTTCCCCACGACATTGGACCCCTCGTCATCTGCATTTATGATTCAGACCCACTGTCCATGTTATCCCCAACATATGATTCTACGCTTGAGTCATCCTTTGACTCCTTTTAATGAGACTCAACGTTTGGTATGGTGATCATATGAGCCAAATTGGGTGGAGAAAGCGGGGCATTGATAAGGTTTCGGATGGCATTCATCATGTTTGTTCTGAAATTTTGTAACTCCAAAGGAATCAAAATCAGTAAAATGGAGGGACCACGAACCAAATCCCGTACCGCACACGAGATTTCAATGCCAAATGCATGTAAGCCAGAATCATAATTGGACTGACCTTCAATAGGATGAAATGACTGAAAATTCGTTATCATTTCATTAATGTAATCGTAAAGTATGCAGACTCCTTCGTTGTGCTCAACTTCGCCATAAAGAACCATCTCTAGCAAAGCAATAAGTTTGTCCAATGTACTAGTACACATAATCAAAGTCTCTAACCGTTGGAATTGGGTCTCCATCCAAAATGAAAAATCTTGCTGCATTTTAGCCAAAGATTGAGTAAAAGTATTCATCCTTTGAATTACCGTGCGGAGGACTTAACACTTATTGCGGCTCGAATTTCTTCTAAAATTCCTACGCTTGCTCTGTTTTTTTTTGTGCTAGATGAAAACCAAAAAATTCACTAGCTAATAGTATGGCAGCTAAAACTTCCTAGAGTGCAGCCTTGCATCGCAAATCAGATCATCAAATCCTTTTTTATTTAATAACAAAACTTGATTTGGAGTTTTGAGCTTTGGATCATATTTCGGTAGAGAACTGTAACAGCTACGCAAAAGAACTTGGAAATGCTTCTTAAATTCTCCGATCGGCAGCGGTGACTCAACTCAAAGGTGTGAAGGTGAACTTTCAGTGGCGGCAGCGAAGTAATTTACTACGGCGCAGTTGGGATGCGTCTATGCCAGATTCTTGATTCAAATCTTGATTGCGGCGACACACTGCATACGGGGAAGATCTGATCGGAAGAATGAAACCTTTTTTGTTTTGGTGGTGAGATTGGGGTTCAAATCAATGAGAGCACCAATTGATACGAGTATCGTATCGGATAGGGAAGAACTTCGAGCGTTCTTCAAGCTCCAGAAGAATAGAAGAGAGAAAGATGGAAAACTTCGAGCATTTCCGAACTCCAAGAAAAGAGAGACGAGCGAGTAATAGAATTTTTGATTATTGATTGATTGAATGATAATGATACGGGATTACAATATATAGCGATGAGACGCCACACCTATGTGACCTAATGGGCTCGGGCCCATACAAACACCTTAATCTATAAAATACTGATAAATAATAATAACTAACTACTAAATAATAATATAACTAATTAAAAATATTTTAATTAACTATCTGTGTCATAGGAAGAAAGTGAGCTCCTCCCTTTGTTTCGTTCAAAAAAATGGAGGTATACTTTAAAACCTAAACTTCAAATTCCTACTCTTCCCTCCCAATCAAATAATTAATCCCTCCAAATAAGAACATTTCTCATTCTCTCCACTCTTCTTTGTGTTATTCAATCAATTTTTACTCCTTCATGTCATTAAAAAATAATTCTTAAATAGTAATAATATATAAAATAAATATTATAAAAATAAAAAATATAATAATAAAATGAAAAATAAAAATTAATAAAAAGTAAAAAAATTATAAATTAAAATTAAATAAATAAGTAAATAAATATATCAACATAATATTAATGATTTTATTAGTTATTATTATTATAGTAATAATAACAACAAAAACAACAACAACAATAATAGTAATAATAATAATAATAGCAATAATATTAATAATACTAATAATAATAATAATAATAAATAATAATCAAAATGAAAAATAAAAATTAAAAATATAAAAAATTAAAATAAAAACTAATACTTTTCATCCTTCTAATCAAATTAAACAAGGTGAAAGAAAACCCTCCCAACCCTTCCCATTCCATCACTCCCTTCCTCCCAACCAAACACGCCCTTAGAGATAGTAGGAATATTTGTGCTTCCTCCGCCCATCAAAAATCTGTAGCAAATTTCTTTTTTGACAGTTAAAAGAATACTTTTCAATTATTATTTTTTGGAATTAACGTGTGTCTCAGTGTATTTATATCTCATACAAACAAATTCTAGCCATACAATTTAAATAATTCAATACTATTTTTAATTTTTAAATTTAATAAAACTCAAATTGTGCAAAAAAAAAATTTCCTCCATCCCATATCTTTCTTCAATTCCCATTTGACCTTCTGCGATATTCTATGCAATACTTCGACCATTATTTATCTCTATATATATATAATATAAAATAAAAAAATGATATTTGAAAAATACGTTTTGTAATGAACCAATTGATATTAAGTTTTTATCACAATTCTTAACTACCTTCGTCCAAGGATATTTATCCAGTTTTGCATTCAAAATTGACATATTTTGAGCACTAATTAAAATAAAATTTATATTAGATATTGATATAAAAATAATATTACCAGATTCTTTTATATTTTATTTTCAAAATATTGTCTTATCTAATCCATAAACTTTATATATAAATTTTATAAAATTATAGGTCAAAGGTTGAAATGGTTTACTACAAAAAATCTAAATTGAACAGATACTCAGAGACGAAGATAGTACTCCGTATATTTTTCATAACTTGTAATCAGAATTTAATTAAAAAATTTGACCAAGAAAGTCAAAATGAGAAGAAAGATATGGGATAGAAGGGTTATAAGAAAAGAATATTTAATTTAAAGAGAGAACATAAAACCCGAGGGCAAATTCTTTTGCAGTTCACATTTATTTTATGAACCTTAATATATTAACACCATGCATGAATGAATTGGGATCTTTGGGAAAAAAGATGCCCATAGTGCTTTATTAAAAGTGTGAGAATGTCTACATTTACATCTAAATTTTAGAATCATGGAATCACAACTCATTGCGCGAGATGGGTTACTTCAAGGGTTATCCATTAAATTTTTGTTCTCTAAAACATGATGTACAAAAAATGAAAATTTAATTCCTCCCTACTGAATTTATACACTTTCTTTTTTTAGCCGTCTCTATAAAAATAAAATACTCCGTAGTTATCTACAATAGTTTTTTAATAAAGTAAAAGATATACAATCCACACTTTTTTTTGAAGGATCATATATTAAGTAACCATGGAAATAAAGTTCGGGACTTAAGGACATGTTTTTCTCAACTTATTTTAGTTTAGTTTACTCATTGCTTATTCTTATTGAAATTATATCAGATCTGAAATAGCTTTAAATATAACTATAATTAGGTCATATCAGAAATAAATTTATTTCAATCAGATCAGAACTGTTTAGAACAAGTGTAGAGAACATGTCTTAATTCTTCTAATAATTTTCATTTAGTCACATTTTACTTTATTTTTTTAAAAAAATAGGTGAAATTAAACTCTCTTAGGCCCCGTTCCGTTCAACTTATTTTTTCTTATTCTTATTAAAATCAGATCAGATCAGATTAGATCGAATCAGATTAGATCAGATCAGATCGAATCAGATCAGACCAGATCAGATCCAATAAGACCAGATCAGATCCCATCAAGAACTATTATTATTATTATTATTCTTAAAAATGAAAAAAGAATAAACTTTAGACACATGTTTAATAGAAAACTGAGAAAGTAATCCTTAATGATTAGACGTGGGAAAAATTATTTTTAAAATACATTAAAAATGTCAATCTAATTTTTACTTTTAAAATACATTTTTATTGCTACCTGTAATTTGAGTTTCTAAGGTTTTGATCTTTTAAAAGGATGAGATATTTTAATAAAAATACTATCTCTTCTATATATTGATTATCTAAATTTAATTACTTTTTAATGTATATATAAATTAAATATTTATTCTAATGTGTATATGAAGTAATTATTAAAATATTAAATTAATATTCTAATTTTAATAAAATCATAAAATAAAAATATTATTACATTATAATATTAATGATTATTCTAATATATGAATTAACTAATTTTATTTTATTAAAAAAAATATTTATAAAATAAAAAATATTGATTATATTAAAATATGAATTATCATTACAATTTTCAAACGTTATTATAAAGTCAAATCAAATTATTGATTTAAATTTTAAATCAAATCATAATTAATTAGACCAGATCAGATCAGATCTAATCAGATCAGATTCAATCAAATTAGACCAAATCAAACCAGATCCAATCAGATCAAATCAGACCAGAATTAATTAAAATCAGATCAAATCAGAAAAAATAAGTTGAACAGAACGGATCAAATATACGGAATATATAGTAGGAGTAGTATCTATAAATCTATGTGAGGTGGGAACATGAATGAAATTTACAACTTTTGGGCCTTAATTTAAATAAAGCCTGGATAAGTAAGTAATCAAAGCTCACCCCTTCCCTAAACTAAAACCAAACACTCTTACTTCTCATTTTTTATTTATGTTTTCTTCCCTCCAATCTTCTTCTTCTTCCATTCCCACACCACTTATAATGGAAGACCAATGCAGCCCTCTCTTCTTCTTCCATGAAGAGGTAATCACTAATTACTGGTTGTTCTTGCTTAATTACTTCTGATTTTTGCTTCATGAATCATTATTGCTGTTTGAGTTTTGTTTAATTGAGAGTAATTTGTGTTTATGGAATGGATAGGAAATTGAGCTGAAACATTCTCTGCTGTACACCACTCTGGAGCTGGAGAACACCATTCTGAGTGCTCAGGAAGAGCTTACCAGGAAAGACGAAGAGATTTTGCAGTTGAGGAATCTGGTGGCGAGATTTGTGCGGGAGAGGGATGAAGCCATGGAGAGGTGCCGGCGGCTAGGGTTCGAGAAACTGCTGCTCCGCCAGCAGATCGGGAAATCGGAGAGCAATACTTGCAGCGGGACGCCGCCGACGAACGAAGATCTGGAGAATGCGCTCTGCAATTCCTCCGATTCCGAGGAGATCGTCGCCGCCGCGGATCCGGTGAGGCCGCCGCCGTCTCCGCCGCCGGAGGAAGTGATCGCTGCGAAGTTCCCCCTGCCTGAGAAGGGGAAGTTCCTGCAGGCGGTGCTGGAAGCGGGGCCGTTGCTCCAGACGCTCCTCCTCGCCGGACCTCTCCCGCGGTGGCAGCACCCGCCCCCTCAGCTGAGCGCCGGCGACATTCCGCCGGTCACAATCTCCTCACCGCGCTTGAATTCCGGCATCAACAAGAGGAGAGCGGCGGACCCGGCATCTCCATCCTCCCCAAAGCATCAAAAGGTTTTTCATCAATCCTCATTATTGACCTGCAACATGTAATCATTCCAAACAGGCAGATCTCTCTTTTTCCATAATCCCATATCAGGATTAGAAAAAAGAAGATCACAGTGCAAGTTGGCTTAGAGAAATTAATTAGTTAGTGAATTCTAGGAAAGACAAGGTCAAAGAGAAACCATAGGAAGGCCTAGTTAATTATGAATGGTCTTTTGATTTGTTTTCTCTTTCAAAGAATCCCACTAAAATGTGTGGATTTGCATCTTTTTTTCTTCTTTTCTTTTTAGTTTTAATTATATAAACTTTGGTCCCCTAATCCTACTTTAGATAATAGATTAGAGTGTGAGTGTTTGGTGTGGAGAGTTTAATGATCTGTTCCACAAACACTGCTTTGAATTTGAGATCTCTTAATTAGGCTTAGAGGTCATTATCCTTGGCAATTTATTACCCATGTAATATGGAGTGAGCTTTTTCTTAGACATATATATATATTTATATGAATATATATAGAAATGCATTATGCAAGTGTATTTCTTGAGATACATTATGGCTGTTATAGACCAGAAATGGTCATGATTGAGTGGCTGTTTATCTATGCTTTGATAAATGATAAGACTAAAGTTTGTTTTCTTCAACCCTCTGCAAAAAAAGAGTTTGCCCTCTTCTCATATGTTTGCCATTCTCTGCTGTTCTGTAAGAATTCCTCGAGTTTTTCTCAATTAAGGTTTGTTTGGGAATATCGTATTTGATGAGTGTTTGTGTTTTTGAGTGATGCCTTCTCAAGGCGCTGATTAATTTTTAAAATACCGAATCTAAAAACTTCGATGAAGTTGAATGTTTAAGTAATTAAGTTAATGACACACGGGGCAAGGGGGTGGTTTCTTGGAAACAGCCTCTCTACTTCTGAGTAGGGGCAAAGTCTGCGTACGCACACCTTCCTCAGACCTGATTGTAGTGGGATTCAATTGGGTTGTTATTGTTGTTAATGACATAGGGAGTCCAAAACCAAATAGCGGGTTACTAACCATTTCAAGAATTGTTATGCATTTGAAAAAAAAAGAAAATGAATGGTGCCTTATGAACACTACAACTTTGGTGTATATCAAGTTGTACGCCTCGTTCTTTATACACTCCGATGAAACGAAAGAGCCTTTTCCATCGGATGCATATGCGGTTTTCGAGAATTTTTGTATTGGAGAGCAAAAATTCTTGTTCATGTGTATAACAACAGTGATGTGCATAAGAACAATAGGGTGCAAAAAGCTAACCATTGCTCCTAGGGCATCTCGATCAAATTTATGAATGTTTGTAATAATAGATGTACAAATGGTTTACTCCCTACTAATTACTCCCAATAAAGTTGCCCACAAAACCCAATTACCACAAATGATGACTTTTCCAATGTAGTACCGTATGTTTTTATTTCCATTATCGTACCACTGGTCATTGTTCCCTGATCATTGTTCAAGTAAATGTATACCCTATTGGACATTGTTAAATTAAATGTTTACCATCACTGAACATTGTTCACGCCATTAGATATTATCCAAGTACTATTTAGAGAATAAAAAAGTTTAAGTACTGTATTAGAAAATGACATCTTTTAGAATTATTTAGTGCAAATTTCACCTTTTATACTTCCTCCCCCAGTCTAAAAATTTTCTTTCTTATTAGACTTTTTATGATCTCTAATGTTGTACTTTAACCATTCATATCTATATTTACATATAAATGTATTTTATAAAAATTTAATACTCCGTATTTCAAAAATATGTTTCAAAAGTACATTTACTCTCTTCATTTTAGTATAATTGTTCAGTTTGACTCTTTTGAGTCAAACTAGATGAAATTTAAGCTTCAATTAAACAAAAAATGTAATGTTACGTTTATTAATATAAAAAATGATTTTAATTAGATTAATCTTGTTGAGAATTTTCAAATTTTAATTTTATTGTACTAATATGCGATACAAATTAAAAGTAATTGAACTTCAAAATTTATTCAATTTGACATGAAAAAGTCAAACTGGACAAATATACCGGGACGAAGGTTGTATATCATAACACATTATAGTTTTTTCGCATATCAAGGTAAAAGTTTATAAATTTTTATCAAAAAAGTCAAAGGAATAGAAATTTCGAGACGGAAGAAGCAATAAATATTCATATTTAATTTCTAGATCAGAGGTTCCAAAAAAGTGCCATTACTCTTACTCTTTCACTAAGGGTCCGTTTGGTATACGGAATTGAATTGGAATTAAAATTCCATAGGATTCAATTCTATAGAATTGAATTATGTCAACTCCAATTCATTTTTTGTACTATCAATTCCAAATCCACATAATTTTTGTGCTACCAAGCACCAGAATTGGAATTGAAGCTCTCAATTTCAATTCCATAGTTTGAATTCCGTGTACCAAACGGGGCCTAAAAAAACTTGAGTCACAAATTTTTTTTGTTAACAAACTTTAACTCATTTTACATACCCTTGGAGTAATACAAAATAGTCAATAGTAGTGTGTCTTTCTTTGTTTTTACCACTACTTTCTACACTAGTGGACACTTCCCCGTACACATTACATCCCAATGTGTTTCATCTCGCATTACTTTTCAATATTCTTTCTCGTAACACAAGGCTTTAATTTTCAATATATAAATTACACTTTTATTTCTAAGGCATTAAACTTGCTAGTGGATGTTGAAACCTAATAAGATATAGATAAGAGCAATCTATATATAAGCAGTTTACACCAACTTTTACTTATGAATTTCATCTTTGGTGTCAATCTTTAAAATGTATTCCCTCCGTCTCTCTGTATTTGTCCACTTTCATTTTTACACACCATCCAATGCACTTCTTTAATCCATTTTATCTTGTAATTTGTATATTAAGAAATTATAAAAATTATACATTAATAATCTATATGTTAAGACAAATCAAACAAGATCACACATGACTATATTTAGGCTTACACATTGAGAGAATTTGATGAGTCAAAGTGCTTAGATGAACAGTTTCAAAAGTCAAATGTGGACAAATACAGGAGGACGGAGGGAGTATTTGGTAATCAAATTAAAATAGATATGAATTCTGATATCACTAAATATCATAATTTTTTCATGTTTGATAAAATCAAAATAGGTGTCGATCGAGTTTGATATCTTCATATATCAAAACTCTTCTAAAAGAGGAAGTTTTGATGTTTTGTGAATTTCGAGGATACTAATACGAAGGTTTTGTTATCATCCTCAACCATCGACTACCTTTGCCACGGGTTACCACCATTGTCCCGCCTGCCACCGTTCATTCTTAGTTGCTAGACAATCTTGTTTTAAATAATTTTATTTCATATTTCAGAACTCATATTATTATTGGCTTCTTAATGTGTGTGACGAAAGCCTTGAAAATACAAAACAATAAGTAATGAATACGAGAATATATTAAGCGTAGCTCCTAAGAATAAATATTGACATATCAGATTTCGGAAGAGTTCTCAAGATGTCATGTTTTTACGGTTTTACCTCATACTTGGTCGTATATGCTGGTGCTTGTTTATTTATTGCTTTTACTTAAGTAGTTTTTAATTTATAAGTTGCTTATAAGTTAAAATTATTTCATGTAGATAAAATGACTTAAATGATACTCCCTCCGTCCCATAAAACATTTCCTGTTTCAAAAAAGGCGCGCACTTAAAATGAGTAATTTTGATATTATTTTCTAATTTTGCTCTTACTTTATAAAAGAGTAGGATGAGATGTGTAGAATAGACTAGTCATAATTAAAAAATAACACTAAAATTACTCATTTTAAAGGCGTGCCATTTTTTAAACAGGAAATGTTTTATGGGACGGAGAGAGTATATAAGTCATTTAGGAATATTCGTAATTTGTGAGGGAAAGTTTTGTAAGTAATATATGGTCAAAACGGAGAAACAAAAAGACTAGCTTAAAAATAAGTAAATAAGACCTACTTATTTTTTCTGACTTATACGCAGCTTATAAGTCAGCTTATAAGCACACAGAAACATGTTATCTACTGACTTATAAGTTAAAAACTATTTATAAGCAGTTTTGACCAGCATATTAGCATAGAGAAACACCTACTAAATATATAATCGGTAATACTCCCTCAATCCCAGAATTATCTTCCAAGTATGACTTCACACAATTTTTCATAAAGTAAAATGTTAGTGGTTGTGCACAAGAATGAGATCGAAATGATATAATCACATACTTCCTCCGTCCCATAAAGTGTTACCCATTTTGACTAAAGTTGAAATTAAGGGAGGGATAATTTTGTGTTGACTTTCCAAAAATACCCTTGATGTGATGAATAAAAGTAGGATGTGATGTGTAGATTATTAGAAAAAAGGTATGATGTGATAGGTAGAGTTTGAAAAAGTAAGGGGTAAAAGTGGTTTTTTAATAGAAATGGGTAAGGTATTGTGTGACACAATTTTTTTGAAACGTGTAAATCTTTTTAGGACGGAGGGAGTATTTGTTTCTTTAAAAGGAAAGAGAAAGAAAATTTTGGAACAACCCAAATAAAACAAGTGTTAGCCCTAATCTACGTCCAAGGCATTCATCACATCTTATTTATTAACACTGTATTTGGTTCATGAAATTTGAAAGAAAAAGAAAATAATTTTCTCTTATTTTTATCACCAAAAAAGAAAATAATTTGAAATAAAAATCTTATATTTATTTTCTCCTTCTACTTTTCTTTTGTTCTCTTACGAAACAAAAAAAAACTAATTTCTCTATTATTTTCTTTTCTTTTCCATAGGATAAGGGTTCATTCACTCATATTTTTCAGAAATAATTCCAACAGCCTCTTCAACATACTTGGTTATATTCAGGGAAATATGTTACTCCCTCCGTTCTCAAAAACACTTCCTCTTTCATTTTTTCCACTTCCAACAAAACACTTTCCTTTTCTATTAAAAAACCACTTTTACCCTTACTTTTTCATACCCTACTTATCACATCATACTTTTTCTCTAATAATCTATCCATCACATCTTACTTTTATCCATCACATCAGGGGCAAAATTGGAAATCAACTATAATTTAACACTTCCTTATTTTTGTCCCAAATCCAAATGGGAAGTGTTTTTCCAAACGGAGGGAGTACATTTTAATCTTATATGGAGCAAATTTCTCTTTGCCAAATAGCAACGAAAATAAGTAAATTAAGTCGATAAGATCTGACTTATTAAATAATACCGTAGAAGAATCTGAAGGGACGGAGGGAGTAATTCCAAGAGCCTCTTCACGGTTAGCATTATATCATACTCCCTCCGTCCCGGAAAACATGGGAGTTTTGGTTTTGAAGAGGGATTTAAGGAGAGTGTATTTTGGTATTGAATTTCCAAAAATGTCGGTAAAAGTATGATTTGATGGATAGATTATTAGTAAAAAGGTATGATGTGAT